AACAGTATATGCAATTTTTAAACTGGGATAAGTACATGCAAAGAAAAGATGAAGATCACATAACTATAATAAATAAGGATATGCAAGATACAAAAGTGATATTTGATTATGTAGAGCTATGTAGGTATTTAGAGGTAAATAATCTTGATTCAAATATTCTCAACATATAGCAGAAAATTATCAGATGTGTGTAATAATTAGTCAGCTAATTTTTTTGAATGAACATGAAAACCTCAACTAATCTGGTTGGTTTTATGGATATAGTAAAAAACAAAGGACAAAAATAATGTAGGTTAATTGTTAGGTGGAGGGGAGGATACTGTCAAACTATCTTCATCACTTTTGTTAGGTTCGAATTAAATAGCAAAGACAAATCAACAATTAAGATTCTCTGCGAATTAAAAAAAAATTTAGATAAATATTGTGGAATAAATGTATAATGGAATATAAATGAATACCTACTCGCAGTAACAACAAAGTCTCTATAAACTCATATATAGTTTCACTGTTATCCATATATTGTGTTGGAATACTTGCTGATCTTGACAATTCAAAAGCAAAATATTGGAAAGGATATTATTTGTGGGAAGGATATTGTGGTTATAAAGATAAAACATTGGCAACCAAATTGTTCAAAGAAGCAGCTGATGAAGGTGTTCCTGATGCACAATTAAGATATGCATTCTCATTTTTTGAAGATAAAACTAGGTACAATCAAGAAGAATTTATCCAATATCTTAAAATGGCTGCTGACAATTCAAATTCCAATGCACAATTTAATTTGGGTGATATATATATTAATGAAAAACTTGGTGTTGAAAAAGATATAGTGGAAGGAACTAAATATTTGAAATTAGCAGCTTTAAATAAACATCCAAAAGCAACTGAAATATTAAAGAGAATGGAAATCAATATTTATAATTATTGATGATGCTCAACAAAAGAAAATCATAATTGTATTTTTATAATAAACATTTAAAATAGTTAAAAAAATCACGTGAGCGTTATAATTTGTAACACTGATCACTTTAGCAAGAAAAAAATTTGAATGTATTGATAACTATACATAAGATATGTCTTACAAATCTAAAAATAACAGATGTAAGACTCAAGGTAGATTCACCAATAACCCTAAACAGTATATGCAATTTTTAAACTGGGATAAGTACATGCAAAGAAAAGATGAAGATCACATAACTATAATAAATAAG